GTAAATTAATAGATACAATTGTCAGGCTGCACAACAGTGCATAGAAAGATACTGCTTTGCAAAACATCTTTGTGAAAAAAAATGCTAACATAACAGTCTTTAAAAACATACAAATAGTGTTTTCGATACCTGCAGCTTTCACGTACAAACGCAGGCAGGATTTGCATCTCTGATTTTTACAATTAAAATTAATAATGAGAGTAAATATTGAGGTATATTCAATAAGGTTATATAGCTGGCTGTCCTATTAAGATAAGAGATTTAAAACCACAATCTTGCTAGATCTTGCCTCACACTTAGTGCATGTAACAAAAATAGTTTGGTCGAAGTATCCAGATAGCCTTTTATACACTGCATATGGTCAAATATTGTCTATTATAGCTGTATCACCCAACTCTTTTATCCATTCATTTATGCAGTTTAAGTCAATGTTTAAATTGTAAAAATGTTACCATGTACAGCTGAAGATGAGTTACTTTGTAATAATCATGATAATATCCTGTTTCTAATCCCCCCAGCGGAATGATCTGAAAACTGTTAACCTTGAAGATTCCTCTTTGTTGTACATAAATCGGAAAAACTTACAGTATAGCTCAGTTGGTTGTATTGAAAAGCCTTTCTAACGTTTGCTGTAATACATCATACATATCTTATAACATTATAGACATCCGGTTCAAACACCCCATAAAAACGTGCTTCTTATCCTCTAGGTACTCTGTCAGCGTGTTCCAGCCCCCCTTCCAGACAGGCAGAATGTCCCCAGAGGTCAGCCAGTGCCGAGCAGATTTGCCTCCTGAGACGCTTGACAGCAGCTGTCAGGAAAGTGTCCTAGCTCAAGAGGCAGAAAAAGAGGGGCCCAGCCTGTCCTCTGAGCCCCACACCAACTCCGAGCAGCCCCCGGGGAACTCCGTTGAGGAGCCAGACTCAATGACCTCTTTGACCACTGACTCGGGTTTCTCCGCGCCAGTACCTGAAACCCAGGATTCTGTCTTGGAGAAGGAGACTTCCTGCGAGAAGACTGTGAAACCTGAGGGTGAGAGGGAAATCTTCATTTGTTTATTAAACAAGCACAACCTTAGTGTTCAAGTTCTGTGTTTTTGTAATTATTCATATGAAAGTAACAATGATTAGCACTAGCATTTACCCAAGTGGTAATATGGTCTTAAAAAAATCACATTAAGTTTGTATGGCAACCTTCAGTAATAGCATATAGTTTAAGATTCCCTGAGCAGCTTGCAGAAAAAACATTTTTAAACATATTTTAAATACATCTCATTATGTGCATTACCATTCCCTGTGCACAAAGGTAATTATCCAATGTTATTAACTGTTCTGTTTTGTTAGCACTAATGAGCTAGAGCCTTGAGATGAATGTTTATTAGTTATCATGCTAAGTTACACTCTTTTCAATCCCCAAAGTAGGAAGGCAATGATACTAGGATTATAGAGAAGTTCTCAAATATATTTCTGAAGATTTTGATTGCAGTGTAACACGGATAAAATGAGTAGATCTTCATTTTAGTTTGGAACAGTTGGGTTTCCATGAAAATTTTACAAAAACGGAGTGGAAATTAATCAGATAAGGTTCCTCTAATATTAAAAATATATTTTTTTTATAAATCAGGCACCTGAAGTTATAGTACAAAAATATTAATGCCTAAAAGGCACGCCTGACCTCTTTCTCAGTGACGAAAAAACGAAAGACACACAAAACAACTCTGCAGGCGTGACTGCTCTAATTGTTTCAGAAAGTTACTGCCACTAGCAACATGTACTATTAAAAGAAGGAGAAAAGGGATATTTTGTTGCCAATTTTGGAGGGAGGAAATAAAATCCATGTACAGGTATATGCTTAAAAGACAGTTTCACATCATCACAAATATCAAGGGTTATCTAACATTAGGGGAGCCATGGAATTGTGTAATAAAACGGATATTGATAGGTCATCAGATATTTTAATCTACATTATTTTTGTTGATTATAAAAATAAACGTCTTCTTAAAAAATGTAGCCCCATTATAGAATCCCATGTTTAAACCTATAAATACTAATGTAAAAACAAGAACATTTGAAGTTTGAGAGATGCATCATGAACATTTAAGAAAATCTGAATGCCTCAAAATGTATTTCATTATCAATAATGGACATTGTTTCATTCTTGTGATTGACACTTTGCAAAGATGACAATCTAAAACGAGTGTAAAAGCAGCTAGCTTTAGCACAGTATCTGCATAAACCTTAGGCACCATAGGATAAAAAGAAATACTACCATATTTGTTTTACATCGCTGGTGGTATGTGGTCACTCCTCCTGCCTGTTGCCATTTGTTTGCTCAC